CATCTCCCAAGTCATGGGTTTTGATGACATGGGCTCCTGTTCACAAGCATTTGAAGTGACACGTGTGACCTACTTCTGAGCAGAGGTTCAGTGTTAGAGTGTGAAACTCAGTACACACCCTGGTTTCATTTTCAGACATCCTACTAAAGAAAACATTAGTTATCATGTTCAGAACAACTGATAGTGATGACTATAGCAGCCTTCTTTTTTTTTTTTTTTTTTTTTGCTTCTGGGCCATTTCAGGCATGCTGGTTTACAGATTGAAACAATGTATATTTGCCCAGCTGCAACTGTTGTCTCAATTTGGTGACCGCCTGCTTTCTTGGGGGTGATTTTGAAAATGTGCCTTGTGGTTTAATGGACTGCATTGTCTGCTCAGCCTTTAAGTTGCTGCTTCCACAGAAGGGCTTTAACATTTAAAAACAAAAGGTGTCTGCGATGCTTCTGTTAACTGTAGGCATTGATGCTTTGAAGCTAAGCAGTTCAGCTCACTAAAATTTAGATAAGCCCCATGCAGGCGTAAGTTGCATGACAATCTTACCACTTTAACTGTAGAAGATCACGTGGCACACATTCCAGCTGCCATCTTGCCTTTTTAAATTAACCACTTTGGGGCCTGAAATGTAGCTTGGTGCTTGACTGACATGTACAAGGCCCTAGGTTAGACTGCACAAACGAACAGAAAAGGATCAACAAATGAAAATGAAATAAATGATTTTATTCTAGCTATAACATTTACATGAATTGTTTTATTAAATAAGCTGCTTGATTAATGAGACCAGAGAGATAATACTTGTATTTGGCCACAGTTTAACCTTTTTGTGGGGTGGGGTGGGGTAACAGTAATGGCAAAATTTTTTGTTTATTTGTTATGTGAAACTTGAATTCCAAATTATTTTCTAGCATGCGTTTTCATAAGTTTGATCATCCCATTTTGTAGGAAGAAAAATTTAACTCTTCAGTAATGTTTCATACTTGATTTAAAAAATACATTAGTTGGAGAGGTAGCTCAGTGGTTAAGAGCACTGGCTGTTCTTATAGAGGAGCTGGGTTCAATTTCCGGTACCCACATGGCAGCTTACAATGTCTGTAACTCCAGTTCCAGGGGATACAACATACATGCAGGCAAAACACCAGTGCATGTAAAAAAAAAAAAAAAAATCATTTAAAAATTACTTTAAAATGCATTAGCTAAGTACGGTTAGAACAGTACCTCCCCCCCAAACCCCCTCGTCCCGCATCCCCCAAATGATAAATTTGACACAGCTTGGAAAAAACTCAGCTCATATGACTCATGGTCTTATTTATGATTTATTATTTTTATATCAAGGGAATCCATTATTTTCATAGTAAACTTACCTGCTCTTTCACATGTTTCGAAATGCTGAGATTTTTGACACAATAAAGGTTCTGCAGATGCCACTCTTGTGTATTGAAATCATCCTGTAAATTCACAGTTTTGAGTCAGTTTGGGTTGCTGTGGTAATTGTTTAAATAAAAAAGATAGCTTGTATGTAGGAAAACACATTAGTAAGTGATTGTTGTAATTCCCAGGTCAGGTTTCAGGCTGTTCTCTCACATGGTAGCCTTCCGCTTGGGCAGCATTCTTTAGCCTGTGTGTGAGTCCCATCCAGTAGGATAAAGAAAACAGGTGTGAGCAGCTGCTCTTCACCTTCCATAAACCTTGGTGTGTTTGTAGAGCATTTTCCTGAGTCCAGGTGTACTGGAATATAAGTTTTCTCTTCTTTCTCTAGAAAGTGCTTTTTGTGGGGGAGAGTGCAGGGGAAGTTATTGGAACAGGATTTCATGTAGTTCTGACTAGTCTTGTGCTCATGTGGAATCCCAACTCCATCTCCCAAGTGCTTGGCATTTGTGTATGAGCATGCGCGCAACACCTGACAGTGGAAATTTGTTAGTCTACAAGTTAAATAGTGCTCTGTGCTTCAGGGTAAGAGGCTTGTGGTAAATCATTCTGTTAATTATAGAAAAATATGGAAAGCCTTTCTCTGTTAAAACCATCAGATTTGTAAATAGGCCTCATTGTTGCACATCTGTTACTTAATTCAGCTCTGTCTGATTTTGAGTACCCCAATGGCAGACATTAGTCCTTGGTGGACACGGGGATTGCTGTTATACTATTTTCAGAGCTCTGGAGATGGTGATGATGCGGACAGTACAGACAGTGACTGCCAGATGATGGAACACACAGGAAGCCACGAAAATGTATTCCCCTTGCTACATCTTAGGATTAGCTGTAAGTCGTGTATGGTCAGCACTGGTAGAATAAAGAAAGGATAGGGCTGGCATAGACTGGGCAGAGGAATTGATATTTCTTTTGGAGGATGTAGCCCAGGGAAAGAGGTGGAATCTGTGGCAACAGATCATTGAACTTCACTTAGGAGGTAACATGTTTGCTTTTAAGGTAGTGAGCAAGTAACTTAACATACATTAAAAAGAAAAGAAAGTTTGGCTTTTGGTGGAAGGGGACAGGAAGAAAGCTTGTGCGTTGTGTTCTGCTTAGGTGAGTAAGCAGCTGCTCCCTGGAGATTTGAACTGCAGGGCATGCATTCCACAGCTCTGCAACATGGAAATTAAGAATTTTGGGCCTATTCAAAATTTGTACTAAATATGGATTAGAGTTTAATTTTTTTTCTTAATTTTTTTTGAGGAAGGTCTTAGAGTTCAGGCTAGACTTTGGCTTGTTATCTTCCCCAGTTGAGTGATTGGATTGCAACTCTGTGAGCCACAGCGTGTGCACTGTGCTTAGAGCTTTCTTTGGCATTTTTTTTGTAGAGAGCGTTTCCTCTTCTTTGTGCTTTAATAGCAAGCAAGGGGTATGAAGAAAAGTATTAACCATGGTGGTAAGAGGTCTGTAGCTTGTCATTTGAGATGATTAATGTGTTAGATGGGTGCTACCTAAATGTGGAAGCAGTTAGTCATCATCTGGGACCCTGGGACAAGATGCACAGCTCAGGGTTAAACTGATCTTTAATACACGTTGGTTCATGGCTTCAGAGGCTTGTTTCATCTGAGAAGTCAGTTAGGGTAATCCTGGTACCTTGAGAGATTCATATTTCTTTCTAAAATGGCTCCTAGGTGCCATGACCCTGATATTGTACAGGAAGTTTTCTGGAAGGCTGTGTCCATTTGTGTCTATTTATGCTCTAACCCTTAGTGTGTTTTTACTATTTTTGGAGTGGACTTGCCTGTCCAACAGTGGGATCATTCCAAGTTGTACCCCTTTATTCTGTCTTGGCTTCTTTCTCTTTTTTTTTTCTCTTTCCTTTCTCCTTTTTCCCTTTTCTTTTCCCCTTTTCTCTTTCCCTTTCCCCTTTCCTTTCCCTTTTCCCTTTCCCTTCCCCCTTTCCTTTCCCTTTCCCCTTTCCCTTCCCCCTTTCCTTTCCCTTTCCCCTTTCCTTTCCCTTTTCCTTTCCCCTTCCCTTCCCTTTCCTTCCCTTTCCTTCCCTTCCCTCCCCTCCCTTCCCCTTCCCCCCTCCCTTTTTCCCTTCCCTTCCTTTTTTCCTTCCCTTTCCCCCTCTTCTTCCCTTCTTCCCTTTCCCTTTTTTTTCCCTTCCTTTCCTTTCTCCTTTCCCTTTTTCCTTTTCCTTTTTCCTCCCTTCCCTCCTCTTCCCTCCCCATCTCCCCCACCCCCTTTTTTTTTATGTGTATTGGTGTGAGGGTTTCAGATCCTGTGGAACTGGAATTACAGACAGTTATGAGCTGCCATGTGCATGCTGGGAATTGTACTCAGAACCTCTTGAAGAGCAGGCAGTGCTCTTCACCACTGAGGCATCTCTGCAGCCCTCTGTCTTGTCTTTCAGTATATATGGAAGTGAAGTGAAAGGCTTTCCAAGTTGTCATACATTCTGAAAGGCACAGAGGCCGGACAGTGGCTTTTGCACTGTGGACATTGCTGTCGTACTCCTGGGACTTGAAAACTGTGACACTTTCACTTCTTGGTAGCTAGTGTGCTTTCCCAGCTCTATTGTATGAAGGCATTTTCCTAAAATGCCTGCTTCTCTTAACAAGCAGCCTTTACACGTAAGCTGTTGTGTGCATCAGAAATAATTGTTCAACGACTGCCATATCAGTGTACCTGAGGAAAGTGCTCTGCTCTTCTTTCTGAAGAAAATAAAATTTGTTTTACTTCATTCCATCTTTGATTGGCTGCCTTGGTTTTCTTTACAGTCAAGAAATATTTTATAGTAAATTATTGATAGGCAATTAGATTGGTTTTTATTCTTCCGAAAAGGTTATTTTAATAGCATGTTCAAGATTTTTTTTCAAATATCTATTTCCTCACAAAATATTTATTGAAAATGAAGTAGCGTGTAGCAGAGCTGTTTCTCTTTGTGAAGACATGAGAATGTCTGTCTAAAAGATTTTTGATTGCCTCTCTCCAGGGCTAGGATTTCGGGCAAGTGCCACCATACCTGTCTTGATTTCTTTTCTTTTCTTTTTTTTTTTTTTTTTTTTTTTTTTGGAGTTAGGGTTTTTCTGCATAGCTTTGGCTGTCCTGCACTACCTCTGAGCATCCTGAAACTCTCTCTCCATTGACCAGGCTGGCCTTGAACTTAGTGAATCTCCTGCCTCTGCCTCTGCCTCTCAAGTGCTGAGATTACAGGCATGCACTACCACTGCCTGGCTTACTTTATTTAGTTAAGTAATTCTTTTATTTAAATTTCTCCATCTGGACATGGGTAGCTTTGTAGAGCTCCCTTTCCCTGAACAGAATCACTGAGACTTTATTAGTTTTTTTTTTTTTTTTTTTAATTATCAGAAGCATGTTCAGAAAGACTGCTATCTATAATTCAGTATCACCCATAGGAAAGGTTTTGTTTTTACTATTAAAAGGTATTTGCTTTGTCACTGATATGTTTATATATTTATTTACCTAGTTATTTATTTATGCAGTGGTCTTACGGACCTTGTTTTTGGTTCTTTAAAGGTAAACGCCATTTTTTTTTAAAAAAATATTTTTTTTCTTTTTTCTTTTAAAGACTGTGTGTATATCGAGAGTCGGCGTCCAAACACACCGTATTTCATCTGCAGCATCCAAGACTTCAAACTGGTAAGCATTTTTCATATTCTGCCTCTCCTGTGTTTCTCTCTTTCTCCCTGACCCCCACCCTCCAGCTCTGCAGGCTTGTAACATTTGATTGCTTCTCCAGCACTCCCGATGTGATAACCAGTATGGGTCAGTGCTGCCTGCCTCCAGGTGTGCACTGAGGTAAAGTAGCTGATGGTTTCATCAGCTTGCTTTGTCTGTTGTGGTAATGTTTTTCTGCTGTAAATGGTATTTGTGAAGTATTTGCTTTAGTAGCTGTTTTGACAATGTCAGAGACCCTTTCTAGTTTCTGAAGTGGTTTCTTTGCTCTTGGCCATTCTTAAAGCGCCTGAAGCAGGTTTAGTGATTAATGAGTAGGAAATGTAAACCAGAGACTAGTTTTATGGCAGAGTTGTAGTTTTCCTATGCTGGTAGGTATGGACTACATATCTTGACCAGTTTTAAGGGTTTCCCTGGAGCAGAGGTTGGAAGAAAGGGAGTTCGGCCTGGGAGTCAGTCTGTCTGGATCATGCTCCTGATAAGAGCTTTGCTTTTAGACGATGGTTCCCACACTTTGGGCTCAGGATAAATCTCTGCGTGTTTGTAAGACAAATACTCAAGCCATGTGTGGTGACACATATATTTAATTCCAGTGCTAAAAAAATAGAGACAGGCGGATGGATCTCTAGGAGTTTTAGGACAGAGACCCCCAACACCCCCTGGCTAAGTATTGTATACATATATGTACTATACACTCATGTGTTTACCTGTTTTTCCAACATTAATATTCTGTGATTTTTTTTTATTTTATTTACAAGAGCACAGTTAAACATCACTATATAATAATGTCTTTTCCTCACACAGCTGATGTGTAAAATGCCATTGAAGCAGTATCATTGGGAACCCTTGGAAGGTTTTGTTCTTACACTGATTGGGAGACTTTCACTTGAAGACTGTGAAGCGCAGCCTACAGTTCAGCCTACAGTTTTAAGTGCAGAACAATCCTAACTATGTAACTTTGTAACTTTGTAGAGAATGTATCACATTTCTGTGTGTGGATGCCGTCCTTTCCCAGGTGCTCCTTACTGGAGAGTTTGTTCTTACATCCATGTTTGTGATCATTCAGTTCAACAGTTTAATACAGTAAAGCTGCTCAGTTGTGCATTTGCTTGTAAGATACATTTATTCTTATTAGGCTGCTTATAAGCTTCCTGGCTGTTGTGTAAAGTGACCAAAGCTTTGCAGCTTTGTTTCATAAATCAAATGTTTCCTATTTAGTTTTCTTGCCAATATAAATTTTTACCATTTTTGGAGATGTTTGTTCTTTATTATATCTTTCTTTACAAAGATTTTTTTTTACAGATACTGCCTGATACCTGAAACTTTGGGAGGTGGCCTTGTTTCCAGAAGAGTTTTATTTTGGTAGTGGCTGCAGCTGCTGCTCTTTCTGTTTGTTATCTGTGTGTATGTGATTTTGATAAAAATAAGTACTAGTGCACTGTGGAAAATATATAGCTATGAAATAAAATTATAAAGATTTTTTTTTTTAGATTCCCATCAGATTCTGAGTCCCTTTGTACTGTGTGTGTGTGTGTGTGTGTGTGTGTGTGTGTGTGTGTGTGTGTGTTAGCATGCCTTCATGTTTTAACAGCATCTCTTATGAAATGCAGATTATAGTGTGACAGTTGCTGTTTTGGGCAGAGGTTCCTGCTGAGATACCGTAATTGCTTAGGGTATTACCAGCAATAAAAGCTGGAGCTTCTGTTGCTGGTATTAAAGCTATCTACAAAAAGGGGAGATAGAGTGCAACATGTTCAGGTGCCTTTTAAAACTACAGAGTCTTTGTTGTGTTTCTCTTTGAGATTCTCTAATTCATTGTCATATAAGAATATTAGAGGTGATGAAATATTTGCTCCTGGGAGAAGTATAGTTACCCTCAGTTTCTGCTTTCCTTAGTTCTGTGTACTTCTTATGGAAAGAGAACAATCAGGATTTCTTCCTCTGGTTTACCCAGGCTATAAGGGAAAATATGCAAGTAGTAGAAATATGCTTTGTTTCTTAGAAAGGTTTTAAAAAGAAGAGATGTGAGTTGATTTTGCCCATAGCAGATAACATGACAAAACAGAAGAATAAAAAATGGCTTTACAAAATAATTAGCTTTGAGGTATTGCATGATGGACTGTTTTCTCCTTTGCTTTGGGGTCATTTCTACGAAGAGATATGTTCCCTTGTTTACGTAACGCAGAACAGTCCCTGTAGGGCTGTGGTAGGGCAGGAGTATAAATAAGGTATGTAATCAGATTGTAGGAGTATTGTGTGATGTTTACTGCTAAAGACAGTAAACACCAATGAAATGAGACATGGGAACGCGGAGCCATCTACTAGTCATCAAGACAAGTGTAATTGGTGTATTGAACTTTGAAAGCCCTGGATAGGGTTTTGTGTGAAGAGAAGAGTGTTTGGACTTTTTGTGGAGACCTGAGTGTTTTCTAGGCCTTGCTTTGGTGTTTCTCCAGAGTTCAAGCCTGTGGTATAGAACATGCCAAGCTATGTAAATAGCTTCTCTATTCATTCTCAGAAATGTTCAAATTTGGATAACTTTTTGGTCATCTTGTCTACGGGGATGAGATCCATGGCTTCTGCTTTATCAAGTGCTACATCATCAGAACCCGTAAGGCTCTTCTATCCACACTGCCAGGTAAATTTATAGCCCACACTTTCACAGGGCTAGATGGAGGCCGTGGTAGTACAGAGCAGTAAGTTCTGAAAGGTTAGTGTTCTTTCTGCCTCTCCATTCTGTTTGGTTTGAGATCTAAGAGGTTTATTTAAGAAAAGTGAGAACTCCAAGAGGGGGAGGAGCTTTAAGGGAAGAACACTCCCAAGGTAGCATTTTCAAGGAAGTACATTATGTGTTCTGTTGGGAAACATTGGTTCTTTTGGGTTATATTTATATACTTAAATAATTTAAGCTGAAAAAACCAGTTTTTAAAATGTTGATTAGAGTTATTTGTGCAAGTAGTAGACACAAGCATAGTGCTCAAGCAAGCCAAAGAGGTGAAATGGACAGTGTGTGCTTAATTAGAGGCAAAAGGAAAGGTAATTGATTAGATAAGGATGCTCTGCACCACAGTTTCAGAACCAGTCGCAAACAGTGAACTAGTTCCTTGAAGCGGCGGTACAGTGCTGACAGTGGTGCACTGGCAGCCTGTGGTCTTTGTTGACCTGGCCTGAGAACATTAGTTTATTTGTAAGAATTTGGAATTGGGGGAAGCTGAGACACTGGCATTCAGTAGAGGGGTAGAGCTGGAAGGATGAATCCAGAATTGCCTTTATGACTATACGATTGGAGCCGGTGCTGGCAAGCCAGCCTGCTTGACAGGTGAGAGAACAAGTCCCAGAAGGTGCTAGCAGCTGCTTCCTCCTTGGCCGCCTGAGCCCCGACCCTTCCTACTAGAGTCTTAGATTCCCCTGCTTGTCTGGAAATGATTGGTTCACCTAGGCTAGTTGACCAAAAGAATCTGGATTAACATCTTCGCCTCTTTCTTCTGTTGCCCTTCCAGAGGATTCCAGGGTCACGTTTGCTATGATGGTTTTGATTTTGATCATCAAGGTGTATTTTATCCCAGAATGCAGTTAGGAGTGTTCACGATTAGTCCTTCCACTGGTATTTATTGGAAACCTGTTTTGTTTTCTTTGTTGAGTCCAAAAGGGAGCACTGAAGAAGTTCAAAATACTGTTTCTTCCCTTAGCAACCTTAGGTTCTAATTGGAGAATTTGTGGCATTAGTAGTCATCAGCCATTTCTGGAGAACACTGGATAGGATTGATATGGAAGAAGACAAATTTTTTGTTGTTGTTTGGCAGTAAAAGTATTGACATTCTATAATCTCAAATCTCAAGCATAAATGAAATAATTTTCTACCTAGAAGTAATCATGAATTGTGAGTGTTAACAGTGTATTGTTAAAATCAGTTTTGATTCATCATGCAATACCAAGACGTTCCTTGTTGTACTGGCTACCACTTGTTTATTTCTACTGTAATACTCAGAAATACTCTATTAATGTTCTGATGGGAATGCTGTTTGAATTCTTGATTGCTATCATCCATACTTTAGAAGGAAGTATGGTGTGGCTTTCCACACCATAATTGTAGAAGTGTGTGTTTATTTATACCAAGTGAGTTTCCAAGAAAGATATATAATTATTACAAACAGCACTTTAGGTAAATCTCATTGGTTTGTTATACTGAACTGGAAAACTTACCCTTAAGAGTAAACTTTGTGTAAGTATGCCTTAACATCCTGGAGAGTATAACAGGCTTCCAGTGCTCTATTAGCTGAGTGAACTCAACTGTGAATGGAGGAGTGTGCTGTTGCATTCCTTATATACCAGACAGTAGTTGTGACTGTGCAATAAAAAGGACTCAGAGCAGCTAGATCATTTCACACCCTCTGTGTATTTCCTTGTTAGGTGTTCACAGCTTGTGGCTAGGGGTGGTTGACCTTTCTCTTTTGAGTTCTAGTTTGTACCCAGAACCTCACTCCAAAATTTTATTACTGTCCATTGTTTTGTTTATTCCTGTGTTCTGACAGTACATCAGAAGAGGGCTACAGAGAAATTACCTTTCAGCCAAGATCGTACACCCAGCGAATTACCAGACCTGTGTCCTGTACACAGCTGCTTGCGTCACACTTGGCTGTTGTGGTTGTAGCGTAGAGCATACAGTGCATGCATCTGGGAGTGGCCACTCGTTTCAGTCCTGGGTCAGCGTCACTTGGGAGCCTTTTTCTCCGTGAGATGGGTTGGGACTCGAAAGCTCCATCATCTTGAACTTGTGTAATTCAGAAGTTGGTTTACGTTACTCTGGGGCTGAGGTGAAGGTTGGTAGGCTGCGTAGCTTGATAGTTGGAATTTTGACTTTAAGTTGTCTGATTCCCATCTCTATTTCATTAATTGCTGGTTTTTTGTTTTATTTTTTATCTATCTATCATCTATCTATCTATCACCTATCTATCTATCTATCTATCTATCTATCTATCTATCTATCTATCTATAATCTTAGGCAAGTCAACCCATGAAGTTGGAATATAATGATCTACCCTGCTTGGGACCTTATAAGTAGGTCATTTGTTGAAAAATCAAGCATACAGTTGACTAGGATAGGGCCTGCCCCTCACATGTTGGTGTTCTTGGCATTACTGGCCTCCTTATGTTGTGGTTTATTTTTATTTTTTTATTTATTTAGAAATTTATGTAAAGTAGTTGTATAGTAGTCTGTATAAAGAGTATGATATAAACTGGTTTCTAAGGCAAGAAATGTTGCATATTGATTAAATTGCTGCCAAACTCTTCTAAAGACCATACTCTTTTAGGCCACCTGTACTTCTTGTTTGTTTGTTTCTTTGTTTTTAAAGATTCTTGGGCACTAGGCTTGTGATTATGTACTACTACCAAGATGTACAGGCATGAAAGATCTTAGCACATGTAGTTTATATTCAGAGGTAAGAACTGGAATCTTTTTTTTTAGTTAGAGGAACATAGTCAGGTGAGTCTGTTGTTGGCTGGCAGCATCCCACATCTCTTTAGAAATAGAGATCTTGGAAGCTTTCCCTCCCTCCCTCCCTCCCTCCCTCCCTCCCTCCCTCCCTCCCTCCCTTCTTTGTCACCATATTCCTTTTGTATCATGTGAATGTCAGTTTAAAATGAATAGAGAAGTATCTTATTTAACTAGAAATCAAAACGAGGCTTTGGGAGCAAACAATCTCGTAGCTCACACCTCGTTCATTTCTCAGAGGTCTCTTTTCACTGTTAACAGTGGGCAGAACAAGCTACTTGGAGCTAAAATTTTGATGGTGTTAGCTACTGTGAAGCTGGATAATTTATTTTCTCCTAATTTATTTGGATTTTAGGATTCTCAAAAAGTGATTGAAGTTTTGTTTAATTGTATGCATTTGCTTAAAATATTTACCTTTAAATATACTTTACCGAACATACCTGTTTAATGTGGACAGTTACGTATTCTACTTTTTGTCGAGCTTACAGAGTTTGAGGCAGTGGTGTTTGTAGAGGTCAAATGTGCAAGAATATGCTGAAGTCTTGTTCAAACTTGTTTCCTTATACTGGAAATTGCCAATTTGTATTTATATATGGATCTTTGTATTAACAATCAACTCGAAATAGTGCCAGAAAACACTTATTGAAAATTAGGGAAGCGCAGTATCATCAGTGTTTTCACATTTTTGTGAATAATTTGCCTTGAAAAGACTTTTTTCTTAAATGCTTAAAATGTTGTAATAATCACTTGAACTGTTTATATATTTAAAACAAATAATGCCAACACGTTGAAAAATGCTTTGCTAGGTTTTTAAAAATTGAAACTCTTTATTTGAATGGAGGAAGATTTGAAACTTGAATTTAAATTCTGGCTAATTGAATTCCTTACAGAAGAGACTTAACTAGATAATCAGTTTTGTTTTTTGTTTATTGTGAAAAAAATACTGACTATACTGTGTACCGGGCACACCGTTAGTTGTATTTAGTGCTTGGGTTTACTGTGTTCGGGGAGTCATGGAGCTGTGGTTCCTAATGCCATCTACTGAGAGGGTAAGAATAGAGAGACTCCATGGAGAACAGGATAAAAAAGAATTACATGTAGGAAGACATTAATAATGATGTGATGTTAAACCTTGCTGTTTAATTCTTAAATAATTGTAATAACAGGCTCTTATAAGTATTTGGATTTTGTGTATTTTTAAAAGTTTATTTACCACCATATGAAAATCAGAGTAGTTAGGGTTTTATATGCCATGTGAGCTCGAATATTTGAAGGATGCAGTTTGAAGCTCTTGTCTGAGGTGCCTCTTGTGCTTAAGGACCAGTGCTGGCTTTCAGAAGTTGCTTTTCATCCTTTTCTGCTGGTTTTAATGTTTTTAGGGTTTCTTTTTTTTAAAGACTTGTAATACATGCTAAGCTGATTTGGGGTGTGTGTGTGTGTGTGTGTGTGTGTGTGTGTGTGTGTGTGTGTGTG